GTTTTACTCCGTCAATTATGTCATAAAGTGTCCTATTATCTTACTCACCCCCCCCCCCCCCTCTCTAGAGACAAAAGGGTTGTCAGCAAGTACTTGTCCTTCTCATAATTCTCTCTCTCTCTCTCTCTCTCTCTCTCTCTCTCTCTCTCTCTCTCTCTCTCTCTCTCTCTCTCTGTGTCTCTCTCTCGTTCTCTCTCTTTCTCTCTCTCTCTCTTCTCTCTCTCTCTCTCTCCCTCTCTCTCTCTCTCTCACTCTGTGTTTCTCTCTCTCTGTTTCTCTCTCTACCTCTCTTTCTCTAGAGGTCATAATGCGTTGAAGTTTAAAGTTTTAGCAGCGAGTTCAAATCTCATCATGGATATTGTTATAATGTGTTTGATTCAATTTAGAAGTTAAAAGTGTCCAATAATAAAAAAAAAATTAAAAAAAAGATTTTCTTCATCAAAAGGCATTTTAGCATGAGTCTTATTTGTCAAGATCTTAACGTCCCTGTCTACCTATATTTACCGGTCTATTTATTTTTATCGATCAATTGTAACTTCTCGTCTCTTACATGATTTCCCGGTGTTAGATACGGATATTACTCATTAGAAAAGGAAAATCAAACACTAACAAAATCTCCCTTTCCTTTGCCTCCCCTAGGCGGCGGTGTCTCTCCGAAGCCTTCACAAGAAAAATATTTATCATCAGAACTTGAGGCCAGAGAACATCCTCCTCAATACCCGTGACGTCGCCTTCATCTCTGACTTTGGCGCTGCGTGTCTACTCTCTGAGGGATGTGACAAGGTGGACACGTGGACAGCTGCACCTGGTTTCCGGGGACCCGAGGCGGACAAGGAGGATGGTCAGCTCTGTACATTCCAACTGGACACCTACAGCCTGGCTGTCAGCATGTGGCAGGTACTGTCTGGTCTGTGTCCAGTCAAGAACAAGCCTTTGGATCACCTAGACAACATTCCCCCACAGTACGCTGCCTTGTTGAGGAACCTTCTTCTTCCGGACCCCGACATGAGATGGACCCTGGACAAGTTCCTCACTGAGGCCCTGGAGCTGCACCCGGACCTGTCCTGTTTTCTCTAAGACGTTTGGTTCCCGGCTGTGGCGTTCTAAAGATAGTTAGAAGGCAGTCTTAATCTTCGCACGTCTTGACTTCTCACTATTAAGTTCTAGTTTGAAGCTTTATACAACGCCTTTGATAAACTGAAGACAATGTCGTAATACTGTTCTGAATCATAGCAGACCCAAGAGAGAGAGAGAGAGAGAGAGAGAGAGAGAGAGAGAGAGAGAGAGAGAGAACACAAATATAATAAAAAGTTGTAGTTAGTTAGTCTTTCTTTATTTAGGACTGTGTTTGTGATCTTGATGTGATGTATATGTGCCCAATAAATTTTTAAAAATCTAAAAAACTTCATTTTCAGATTGACTTAATCTTTCCCTTCCTTGTCTGTGAATCAAATTGATTTCCCCACTTTTTCAAGCTTTTAAAACTGTTTATCTATCTATCTGTCTATCTATCTATCTATCTATCTATCTATCTATCTATCTATCTATCTATCTATCTATCTATCTATCTATCTATCTATCTATCTATCTATCTATCTATCTATCTATCTATCTATCTATCTATCTATCTATCTATCTATCTATCTATCTATCTATCAATCTATCTATCTATCTATTTTTAGCTTTTTTTTCTAAGATGGCTGGTTTGTTTATCTCTCCTTTTGGTATTTTTTTACAAGGACGAGCATTTCTTGCACAGAGAATGAAAGATGAAATGATTAGGTATAGCGTATTATTGTGTTATCTCATCATCTCTCTTCATCTGGAAAATAAGAATCTATCAAAAGATTTACCACTCTTTTGACACCTTTGTTGGTTGTGGTGTATGTCAAAATTTAACTTTCAACGGTACGAAAAATCTTATATAAGTTATTCCACCAACTAACTAAAGATTTCCTTGTCGAGTAAATATGAAATGGAGAGATCTAGAAACACAAAATAATCAGGTGATAATATCATTCTTTATGGGTTAAAGGCCAAGCCATTAGGAAACAGAACAAATTTACTATACACTACAAAAACCTGACTGTCCTCGAAATTGACTGCAACAGCAGTTTAAGTTTATTCACAACTTTTGATACACACACACACACACACACACACACACACACACACACACACACACACACACACACACACACACAAAGACATACACATGCACACAAACACACACACATACACAAACACACACATCGGTTCCACACTCGTACACACATAGGCCTACTAAACACGTACTTGTAGGCCAACACATGTTCAAGCACAGGCAATCTCTCTCTCTCTCTCTCTCTCTCTCTCTCTCTCTCTCTCTCTCTCTCTCTCTCTCTCTCTCTCTCTTTCAATTTCTCTCTCCCTCTCTTACTTGCTCTCTTTCTCCCTCCTCTTCTCTCTCTCTCTCTTACTTGCTCTCTTCCTCCCTCCTCTTCTCTCTCTCTCTCTCTCTCTCTCTCTCTCTCTCTCTCTCTCTCTCTCTCTCTCTCTCTCTCTCTCTCTCTCTCTCTCTCTCTCTCTCTCTCTCTCTTTCCCCCACCCTAAAAAATCGCTCAGAGTGCGCACACAAACACACTCACAAACACACACATGCACACTCACACATATATATAGGCCTACACACACAAACACACACACAAACATCGGGCCCACACACATACACGCATATAGGCCTATACTAAACACGCACACTTGCACAAGCCACACAATACACATGTTCAAGCACACTCTCTCTCTCTCTCTCTCTCTCTCTCTCTCTCTCTCTCTCTCTCTCTCTCTCTCTCTCTCTCTCTCTCTCCCTCCCTCCTCCTGCTCCCCCCCCCGATCAGCGCGTGCGCACATACAAACATAGGCCTACGCAAACACACACACACACACACACACACACACACACACACACACACACACAC